ATGGTGATCCATGTTGCATTGTGTGTGATGATGATCCGTTTATTCGGATACTTGACAATGAAACGAGTTCATTTACAATTGGTGAACTCGTTTCATGGCCAACCACGTTGTAGAATTACGTAGGGGGTCCGTTCAGTGGATGTAACGTGTTAATGATAATGAAACGGGTTCAAAATGTAATTGAACAATTAGTCATGAACCGCTTTAAGACATGAACAATGATGCTGTAGGTGAATGGTTAAGTTGATGAAATGGTAAATGAAACAGGTGCATAGACAAAATCGATTCATCATTGCAAAAAATGGATGAGATTCAATATCAAATTAGGATAATAAAATTAGATATTGCATAATAATAAAATTTAATAAGCGCATTAAACAATGATGATGAAACATATTCATGTTCAGGTTTCATAGTGATCCATGTTGCATTGTGTGATGAGGATCCGTTTATTCGGATACTTGACTATGAAACGAGTTCATTTGCAATTGGTTAATGATTGTTGATCTCGTTTCATGGCCAACCACGTTGTAGGATTACGTAGGGGGTCCGTTCAATGGATGTAACGTGTTAATGTCTCTGAAACGGGTTCATAATGTAATTGAACAATTAGTCATGAACTGCTTTAAGACATGAACAATGATGCTGGAGGTGAATGGTTAAGTAGATGAAATGCTAAATGAAAMCGRTGCATAGACAAAATCGATTCATCATTGCAAAATATGAATGAGTTTCAATATCAAATGAGGATAATGAAACTCGATATTGCAAAACCATAATATTTAATATGCGTATTAAACAATGAAAAAAATTCATTAACTAAAATGTAACAAATCCGTCTACAAGTAAATTAAGAAAAACGAAATATGATCATTTATTTTAATTTTTTATGAAATTATTCATTATACATTAGTGAATATGTTGTGTTTTGATTTTGATATAACTTATTGATGRATATTATTTTAAAAAATGTTAACATTAAAATAGTATATTACTTCACAAAGTGAATCAATTTCGTTAATAATATAATTTACCTGATATGGTTGCCTTGAATAAAAAATACTATGAATTAAATTTGTTTACCGATTCTACCATTATTGATAAAATAAAATAAATATTAATTATTTTTTAATTTTTAATTTCCTAAAAAATAATGTAATGTAATCTTAGCCATTGATCAAAAAAATGAATGGATGAGATTGGTTTACACAAATGAGTCAAGTTTTTATTTGAACGCTTCTCTCTCTCTCTCTCTCTCTCTATATATATATATATAGGAGCGATCAAATGAAAACCGCCTTCATTTGTGTAAACCGTGCAAACTACCTTCATCCGTCGATTTCATTGTTTAATGTTATGAAATTTTTTCACGAAATTGTTTAATCTTGTGAAATTGTTTCATATAATACTTTTCTTTTTGATGAAGTTGTTTCATATATGGTTGTGAAATTGTTTCATATAATACTTAATGAAATTGTTTCATGTATTTCTTTAAAATTAAAATAATGAAGATGATAATATCCGTGATTAACACCCTCCACAATAAAAATGATTAATCGACTTCTCATAATTACAAAAAAATGAACAAAATGAAAAATTGTGATTGGTTGAATGAGGTTTGCACGGTTTGTACAAATTGARTGGTTTGCATTTGATCGCCCCTATATATATATATATATATATATATATATATATATATATATAGGGGAGCGGTCAAATGAAAACCATATATATATAGGGGAACGATCAAATGAAAACCACTCAATTTGTAAAAACCTCATTCCACCAATCATAAATTTTTTTTTTGTTCATTTTTTTGTAATTATGAGAAGTCGATTAATCATTTTTATTGTGGAGGGTGTTAATCACGGATATTATCATCTTCATTATTTTAATTTTAGAGAAATACATGAAACAGTTTCATTAAAATTTCATTAAGTAGTATATGAAACAATTTCATAACCATATATGAAACAACTTTATCAAAAAAACTATTATATGAAACAATTTCACAAGAGTAAACAATTTCATGAAAAAAAATTCATGAAATTACGACGGATGAGAGTAGTTTTTACGATTTTTACAAATTGGAGTGGTTTTCATTTGATCGCTCATATATATATATATATATATATATATATATTAATTGTAACGTAATTTTATTAAAGTGGTTCAAAGATGCACTTAAGTGGACGCCAAATAGTTGTATTCTATGTTTTGATTTTTTTAAAAAGGATCGATGAAAAACTATGAACCCTATAAGCATAGATGGTTAACCAAAAAGAGGCAACCCCATTAATACAGATTGTCGACCAAAATAAGCCAACCTCATGAGCTTCCGCGAAGGCCTTGCATCATTCTATAAGTACCCACATCATTATTCTATTCAGTTATCTTCTCACGAAAAAACAACAAACCCATAAGTCTAAACTGTTAGCCAAAATTAGCCAACCACACGAGTATAGAAGGTCGATCAAAATAAGCTAATCCTATGAGTTTCCACGAAGCCCTTCTTATTTGTGACATAATACCACTGACACTATTTTATTGTTAAACATTGTTTTGTAACGTAATTTTATTAAAACAATTTAAATATGCATTTGGTTGGGCACCAAATAAATATACTATATGTTTTGATTTTTATAATAAACAGGATGGTGAAAGACAACCAACCCATAAGTTTAGATGGTTAGCCAAAAATGGCCAACCCTTTCATCATCTTCTAACCAATACGGGATAAGCAAAACACATTACATTTATAGATTTGATAAATACTCAAATCTCATTAAGTCACCTCATTGTCCCTTAATTGTACGTTGGTTTGTAACGTAATTTTATTAAAACGATTCATATATTTGAAAAAATTGGGGTTTCAAGATGAATCGAAATGAACTAACGATTGGTTCAATGGGTTGAAATGAGTTCTTGAATAATTAGATTTATTTTTGAAGTCAAAAAATATATCACACATATATACGTGACTATATGTATATGTAGAGGTGGATTATCATACAACCTTTTATATTTCTACAACCCTTACAACCAAATTAATAGTGTCCATTTGATCATCAAGGGTTACTACTTGATCGGTTTGTAACTACCCTTAATTAAAGAAAAACCAAAAGAGAAAATAAAAGAAATGGATGGTGAATAACTGGGTCACATCAGTTGTATAATCTAAAGGAGTTGTATTTGAACGCCCCTCGGTATATATGTATATGTACATGTACATGTATATGTGTATGTACGTATGTATTTACATATCACAACTCACATGACCAAATCATTGCATCATAAGGTCTTTTAAAATAGTAGGTTTTGAAACCATATGAGCATAAAAGGGTCGGCCAAAGTAAGTTAACCCCATAAGCTTCCACAAAGGTCTTCCCTCCTCCTAATAAATATTCACATCATTCTTCCATTCATCATCATCTCATCAATGTGGGATAAGCAAAACACAGATGAATACCCAAATCTCATTAAACTATTTCATTAAACTATATAGGGTTGGGTTCACGTGAAACCAACCTGGTTTCATGAGACCCGTGAGACTACTTTTTTATACTTGAAACTTCACAGCAAAATGCTATGAAGGTAAAAAGCCGAACCTTCACAGTAAAAACACTATGAAGGTTACTTTACAGTAAAAACACTGTGAAGGTTACTTTCACAGCGTTTTGCTGTGAAGTTTCAAGTGTAAAAAAGTGGTCTCATGGATCTCAAGAAAACAAGATGGTCTCACGTGATCCCAAGTATATATATATATATATATAGGGGGTCGTTAAAGGAAGAACTAGTTAGTTTGTGATAACTGCGAGATCCAATCTCAACGACAAATTAGTGGTTAAATAAAACTAAGAATTTTGATAATTTGACTTAAAATTTTAATTAAAGAGCATTTTAGGTATTTTTAAAATATTATCTCTCTCCTCTCTTTCTCCTACCTTCGGTCTCCAGTAAACCTTATTCCAACATCTAGTAAAGACAAGATACACAATGTGATACCCAAAATACATACAATGTGATACTTAAAATATACCAAGTAAACTTCGAGACTGTAAAAAAAATACATACAAACGATCCACGTTTGATACCCAAAATACATACAAGATGCATTGTGATACCCAATATAGTACCAACTGTGATATCATTGTGATACCAAACCTTAATACACAAAACCTTCAATTTCAAGCCAATGATTTTACCAGAAAGAAACGGTTCAGGCTTTCGATATCGGAAATTTTCTTTGATGTAGTACTAGGATTTTTCGAAAATTTTCTTTGATGCAGATTTTCGATATTTGGATGTTTTCTTATATGATTTCGAATGAGATGGAGAGATTAGACCTTTGATATCTGGATGTTTTATCTGATTTTGATTTATATAGAGATTTGGATTCGTTGAAGGTCTTGATCTGATGTCTACTCCTTTTTGGCCAGCGGCCGGCGAGAATGGTGAACATCGGCCGATGAGATGGAAAATTTTAGTGGGAGATGGCCAAATGGTTGGAGACTTGGAGGGGCTTCAATTCCTCTAGAATTGTCTCCCAATTTTTCTTCAACCTTTTTTATGTTATCATTAGGAGCTCCCTTGATATTAATTATGGTTAAATTGCAACAAACACCACAAGTATTTTTTTTTTACATCACCGCTGTGTTTTGGAATACTATAACTATACATGGATGGGAACGCTTATATTCTCTGTTACTATGAATATAGGAAATGTGTGCACTAAGTTCCCTCTCTCTTGGAAGTTCTTCTGATTCCAATTTGAAGGAGGCTTGGCGTTCAGATGGATATGAGGACAAGAAAGATTGGAGGAAAACTGGAATTGAAGCAGAAAGTGGTTGCCACTGGCATGAAGAATAAAGAGAAACAAGCTTACTTGGTAGAAGAGAGTGCAGGAAAATTGATCGTCGTATTGATATGGGTAGAGATACGCCTAATAATAGAGCACCTCCCTCTGATAGGTGGCTTGATGTTGGTAACCGCAGTGTTGGACACGAGGCACGACATGACAGTAAATGGTCATCTAGGTGGGGTCCAGACGAGATAGAAACGGAAACACAGACTGAGAAGAGGACAAATGCAGAGAAGGAAGATGCTCATAGTGACACTCAAGCACATGCAAGTAGCACAAGAGTAGTTTCTGAGCGTGATCCAGACTCCCGTGAAACCAATTTCACACACTTGGTAGTATTTGTTTTAGAATTTGGATCATTGATTGAATTGAAACAAACAAAGCTTGTCAAAAATATATTTTTGGCAAAAACATATCCATTTTCATCTGAATATAGCATGTTTCAATTCAAACTCAAGAGAAAAGAATTTTTCATTTGCCTTAGCTTTTGCTTGGATGATCAACAAATTAAGCTCATGGACTGACAAATTTGAATGCAGTTAGTAATCTTTCATGGATCGTAATCAGTATGTTCAGTTACATTTATTCGAATTTAACATCCCGTCGTATTGTGCGAGCATACAACTAGTATTTAAAACATTACTACATACAAAAGCATACAAAATTTCATGAAATACCAAAAACCTCAATTGAATTTCTAAATTTCATCATGCCTGTAAACATTCAATAAAATTCCGAAATTTCAAATCCAAACAATCTCTTAAGTTAAATATGCTACTGAAATTTGAGATTAAAATTGAAATGAATTTAAAATAAAGGGTCATAAATATTTTTTTTAGTAAATATTCAAATTGGTATATTTTATTTTATAAATAAGAAATCAAAAAGATAAAATGGATATGCTTAATTGATTCATACATATTATGAAGCCAAACACAAATAGATCGATCAGGGATGGATGAGAAGAAGGCTCATGTGGTATTCATACCATTTCCAGCACAAAGCCATATCAAGTGTATGCTGAAACTCGCCACCCTCCTCCACCACAACGGCCTTCGAATAACCTTCGTCAACACCCACTCCAACCACACGCGCCTCCTTACCTCCGCCGTCTCTCACCATCTTCACGGTGCTCCTGGTTTTCAATTCCGATCAGTTCCCGATGGTCTCCCTTCTACTTCCTGTGGAGATGAAGATCAAGAACCACTTCAARCCATAMWTSAGMTCAMCCGATACCTGGCAACCAATTTCTTGGCTTCCTTTCTTGAACTTGTTGCCGGACTTGAAACTCCGGTGACCTGTATCATCTCCGATGGTTTCATGACTTTCACGAAAACCCGTTTTGCAGCTGAGAAGCTCGGAGTTCCGGTCATCCTTTTCTGGACAGTTGCTGCCTGTGGATTCATGGGGTTTTATCAGGCAAAAGTTCTAATGGATAGAGGGATTGTCCCACTTGAAGGTTACATTTCTACTCTTCTTTTCCTTTTTTCTTCTGATAAATCCTATTAAAAAGAGAAAAAAAAATTACACAATTTTTTATGCAAATTTACCAAAGATATTTGTTTTATTTTTCAATCAGAAAATTAGTATCGTCGTTATCGGGTAAGATTCTTGACCCTCGTCATCTTCGATATAAATGACCTAAGCATTTAGTATAGAGTTCCTTAGACATCTTTGACGTCATCGTGTTTGGTTTGCAGATGAAAGCTATTTGACAAATGGGTTCCTTGATACCATGATCGATATCCCGGGTATGAAAGAGATCCGATTAAAGGATCTACCGGAATACGTCTTGGGTACAAAATCTACACAAGCGGGGTGGAAATTCATTGTGGAAATCGCAAAGGAAGCTGATAAACATTCACATATGATTATCCATACATTCGGTGAATTAGAGAGCAGTCTAATCGAAGTGTTCAAATCCATGTTTCCTAACGTCTACACCATCGGACCTCTGCAGTTGCTTCTGAATCGGATATTTCCGGAAAACGAACCCAACAACTCGAAGCTCAATGGCTACAGTTTATGGAAGGAAGAGCCCGAGTGCATCCAGTGGCTTGAGTCGAAAGAACCGAACTCAGTGGTGTATGTAAACTTTGGAAGTATAACAGTAATGTGTTTACAAGATCTTCTCGAATTCGGTTGGGGGCTTGTTAACAGCGACCATGAGTTTCTTTGGATCATCAGGACCAATTTCGTTGATGGGAAACCTGCAGTTTTCCCTCAAGAACTCGAGGTGGCGATCAAAAGAAAAGGGTTTGTAGCAAGCTGGTGCTCACAAGAAGAGGTGCTGAACCACCGGTCTGTTGGTGGGTTCTTGACTCATGGTGGGTGGGGATCGGTGATTGAGAGCTTGTCAGCTGGGATTCCGATGGTGTGTTGGCCGTTTTCCGGCGACCAAAAAATGAACTGCAGACAAATGTGCAAGGAGTGGGAGGTGGGTATGGAGATTGAGGGAAGTGTGAAGAGAGATGAAGTGGAGAAGCTTGTGAGGGTGTTAATGGCGGGAGAAGACAGTGGGAGGATGAGGAAGAAAGCTATCGAGTGGAAGAAAATGGCGGAAATCGCTGCCGGACCCGACGGTTCGTCTTCTCGGAGTACCGAAAAACTTGTTAATGACATTAACATGTTTTCAAGAAACTAATTCATGGACGGACCTAGAGTAGATAATACGGTGACATGTGTCACCATATTATTCCTTCGTCGAAGGGTAAAAAATTTTAGGTTCGTAAAATGTGCAATCGTATTAATTTGTTGTGTGCTACCGTATGTATTTTGAAACTACAATGAGAACAAATTTTATTTGGTAGAGTTGGTTTGCAAGGCTTTTATTCCACTCAGACCCAAGCTTGAATCTTGTTAATGTCATTTTCTTAGTTAAATGGTGCCACCGTTTGAAAAAAAAAAACTTTATACATTTGTTTCTTATAGTCAAATGGTGCCACTGTTTGGAATTTTTTCCCTATATCTTTTTCTTATAGTCAAACGGTGCCATCCTTTGAAAAAAATTATGGGTCCGTCAAGTTATGGACGGATCAAGAGTAGAGAATACGATAGCACATGTCACCATATTATTCTTTCGTCGAAGGGTAAAAAAATTTAGGTTCGTGAAAGGTGCAACCATATTAATTTAATTTGTTGTGTGTTACTGTATGTATTTTGAAACTACAATGAGAACAAGTTCTATTTGGTAGAGTTGGTTTGCAAAGATTTTATTCCACCCCAGACCCAAGTTTGAATCCTGTTAATGTCATTTTCTTAGTCAAATGGTGCCACCGTTTGAAAAAAAACTTTGTACATTTGTTTCTTATAGTCAAATGGTGTCACTGTTTGAAATTTTGCCCTATATCTTTTTCTTATAGTCATTTGGTGCCACCGTTTGATTTTTTTTTTGGTCCGTCCACACACTATTTATAATCGAAAATCAGAAACGAGAAATCAAACCCTTTGTTTTCTTGTTAACTGCAAAATCAAACCCTTTATTCTGAAAATCACGGTGGTCCTTTTGTGTTTCTGGCGTATACCCTTGATTATTCAGAAACTATTTTCATCATTGTTGTCAATGACAAGGGAACCCTCTATTTTTAGAATCACAGTTTCTCTAAACCGACAACTTTCTTGCGTTGTCATATACAAAAACCAACAGTGGTCGTTGCCTTTTTGCAGTTACGAACCAATACCACAACCTTCTTATAATTGTGGCTTTCTTCCCCTCTCTGAGATCTTCTTTTTTGAAAACCGCGATTGCCTCATGGTTTGGAGGTTTGAGTGAAAGAGAGGTTGACAATGTCCGATGGTGGAATACAACGGAGAAAGAGAAATAGCAATGACCGGGGACAGTTGGAGAAGAGGGGCATCAAGCCTATCATCAAAGACATCCAAACCCAAACAAAAAAAACCCAATTTTTTTGTGTTCAAATCTAGTTTATACAACTCACCACAGGTTACTATATAATGCACACAACACTTAGGGTTTGCTCGGTTGTGGCTTAATAGGCGGTATAGCCTATATGGCTTATTCGTCCGGACATAAATAGTTGTTCGGCTGTGGCTTATTTGCTCAACTGATGACTTAATCGGTCAACTAGAAACTATTATTCCTTTCGTGACAATCCGTCACTTCGGGATTTCAGGTTAGTACCTTATTTTAGGATCCTTGTTTGAGAATTAAGTTTTTCGAGGATTTAGCTTCGATGATTAGAGATCATCTTGCTTAATTCCTAAGATTAGTTCGTTGGATCACGTTTCGGCGGGTAGTCAACAAAGTTAAATTTGCAATGTCTAATAGTTTGGAATGTTCCACATAAAATAAAGTCGATGTTATAAGTTTTGTATTTAAAAAAAATTAAAATTACCAAAATTCCATTTTTATTCGCCAAGTTTTATTAAAGGGGTGGAGTTCTTTTATCTAGTTGTTTTGTTTGGTTAAATTAGTGGGGTTTTATTTATTTATTTTTGGGCTTGGGCCTTTAGAGGCCAGCCCATTTCTCCTCAAAAAGCCCCCATATAAATACCCCCCCTCCTTCTCTAAAAATTTTCATTCTCCAAACTTCCAGCTTACCTGTTCTCTCTCTAAACTCGACCACCATCCAGCCAGTTCTATCTTCTTGCAATCTAAAAGGATTCTGCTGCTCTTAAGAGTTTGTTCAAAGATTTTAAGAAAAGGTATCACTACTAGAAAAACAGGTATCAGCGACGAATATCAGCGAGGGAAAATTTCCCTCGCAGATCAGCGAAGGATCAGCGAGGGAAATGCCAAAAAACTAATTCCCTCGCTGTTCCCTCGCTGATTAGCGAGGGAATATTTCCCTCGCTGATCAGCGAGGGATCAACGAGGGAATTGCCAAAAAACTCATTCCCTCGCTGATCTGCGAGGGAAATTTTCACTCGCTGATACCTCGTTGATCTGCGAGAGATCAGCGAGGGAAATACCAAAAAAATCTTTCCTCGCTAATCCCTCGCTAATTTGCAAGGGAATTTTCTTCTACAAAATCCCTCGCTGATCCCTCGCAAATCAGCGAGGGATCAGCGAGGGATTTTTCTATTTTTCCTATTTTCTCATTTTTATGTGTTATATGTACATATTTTTATATGTTGATATCGTACGTATGCATGTCATGTGTTGTTTGTGTGTGTGTGTATATGTATATATATATATATATATATATATATGTGTTGTGGTTGCTAACCGCAATATATGCATGTGTTATAAGTATATATACCCGTCGTGAGGAAAAATGATATACATTCACATATACATATACGTTTAAACATATATTCATTCA